TTTTTCCACTTAGCTTTTGTCTGGCTTGCGATGTCACTTGCTTGATGAAATATAGTTGCGCGAAGCTCAGATTTGCCTCTATGTAATAGTTTGCTTTGTGTTATTACTCTTGCGACTAACTTTTAATAATCAACTTAAAATAGAATCCTTGAATCAATTGATGGCTTGGTGTTTAACAAATTCCAATTCAGATTATTCTACTGCTCGTTTGTTCTGGAGAAATTGTCCATGCCTGGTCCTACGAAGGTCCAAAGTTTGCACCCGATCAAGAACAGTTTTTAGAAACTGAAAGTTTTCGGCTTGAAAAAACAAATGTCGACCGATCGGATTTCTGGTTTTTCAAAGCACTTCAAAATTTTTGAAAATGCCGCAATTTCTTCACGCCTGAACATCATGGCGTTTTTTTAATCGCAAATCATGCGAAGCTGCGCTTTGACTCTGTGTTATAAATTGCCGCTCAGCATATTTTACGGAGGAGTTCATCTTTAGTTACTCCTAAAAATATTCTTTTTTAAGACTGATACTTCATATTACTCATGTTTTCCTGTTATTCATGTTTTGCACTAAATGAATTTCATTCAAAACAAATGTTAAATTTGATAGAACTAGTTCTGACCCTTTTTCAACTTAGCTTTTGTCTGGCTTGCGATGTCACTTGCGTGATGAAATAGAGTTGCGCGAAGCTCAGATTTGGCTCTATGTAATAGTTTGCTTTGTGTTATTACTCTTGAGACTAATTTTTCATAATCAACTTAAAATAGAATCATTGAATCAAATGATGGCTTGCTTTTACACAAATTCCAATTCAGGTTGTTTAATGCATGTTTGTTCTAGAGAAAATGTCCATGCCTGGTTTTTGAAGGTCCAAAGTTTGCACCTGTTCAAGAACAGGTTTTTAAAAACTGAAAGTTTTTGGCTTGAAAAAATAATTGTCGGCCGATCGGATGTCCTGTTTTTTGAAGCACTTCAAAGTTTTTGAAAAAGCCGCAATTTCTTAAAGTCAATTTTCTTCATGCCTGAAAATCATGGCGTTTTTTTATCGCAAATGATGCGAAGCTGCGCGCTTTGCCTCTGTTATAACTTGCCGCTCAGCATATTTTACGGAGGAGTTCATCTTTAGTTACTTCTAAAAATATCCTTTTATAAGACTGATACTTCATGTTACTCATGTTTTTCTGTTATTCATGTTTTTCACTAAATGAATTTCATTCATAACAAACGTAAAACTTGATAGAACTAGTTCTGACCTTTTCAACTTAGCTTTTGTCTGGCTTGCGATGTCACTTGCGTGATGAAATATAGTTGCGTGAAGCTCGGATTCGCCTCTATGTAATAGTTTGCTTTGTGTTATTACTCCTGCGACTAGTTTTTAATAATCAACTTAAAATAGAATCCTTGAATCAATTGATGGCTTGGTGTTTAACAAATTCCAATTCAGATTTTTTCTACTGCACGTTTGTTCTGGAGAAATTGTCCATGCCTGGTCCTACGAAGGTCCAAAGTTTGCACCCGATCAAGAACAGTTTTTAGAAACTGAAAGTTTTCGGCTTGAAAAAATAAATGTCGACCGATCGGATTTCTGGTTATTCAAAGCACTTCAAAGTTTTTGAAAATGCCGCAATTTCTTTAAGTCAATTTCTTCACGCCTGAACATCATGGCGTTTTTTTAATCGCAAATCATGCGAAGCTGCGCTTTGACTCTGTATTATAACTTGCCGCTCAGTATAATTTACGGTGGAGTTCATCTTTAGTTACTCTTAAAAATATCCTTTTTTAAGACTGATACTTCATATTACTCATGTTTTCCTGTTATTCATGTTTTCCACGAAATGAATATCAGTTAAAACAAACTTAAATATTGATAGAGCTAGTTCGATATGTTTCTGACTTGTTTCCACTTAGCTTTCGTCTGTCTTGCATGTCACTTGTATGATGAAATAAAGTTGCGCGAAGCTGAGCTTCGCCTGTGTAATTGTTCGCTTTGTGTCATTACTCATGCGATTAGCAAGTGTTATCAAACTGGATGATAGACATTTTTAAGACAAACCATTTTCTAAATAGAATCGTTTGATGGCTTGATTTTTAATAAATTCAAAATCAGCGTTTCAATTTGCACGGTGCTTCTGGAGTAAATGTCCATGCCTGGCACTACGAAGGTCCACGGCTCGTACCCGGCCATCATTTTTTTGGGAACTGAAAAATTTTGGATTGAAAAAATATGGGTCGGCAGGTCAATTTCCCGTTTTTTATCTATTTAATCGCCATAGCTGGGTATTTTCTGGTCATCTGAGCAATTTTCAAGCTAATTTGAAATCTGTTTGATATATTATTGTAATAGTTATTTTGTTCATAGAAACGTTGCAGTTATTTTTGAAAAAAAATGTCAAGCAGGGCTCAAGGACGATTTTTTTCTAGTTTTTTGTTCCGTCTGTTTGTTCACTTCTAGTCACAAAAAAAAAACAACGAATAGAGTTAACTTTTTACGAATAGTCTAAATTTTTTGCATTTGCCATAATCAATTCATTTGAAATCATATTTTTTTATTTGATTGCAAACACTTTTTTCATAGTTAAGGCTAAATTGTTCGTAATATTGGTGACTTTCAGCAATTTGATTGTCAAAAATACTAGCTTTTCAGGTTTATTAGGTTTTTTGAACACTTGTTAGGTTTTTTGATTTTACTTGAGACAATTAGTGATAAACTGAAAATTGAAGTCAAAAAGAGCAGTTTTGGGTTAAATATTTCTTTCCGATTCTTTAACCGCAAAGGATATTGCCAACAATTTGCCACTGGCTATGAAAACTAACTGTTCTGATTTTTTTAAGAACAATTTTTTCGCATTGTTTGTTTGTCTTTTAACAGTCAATTTTCTTCACGCCTGAACACCATGGCGTTTTTTATTTTGCCTCAGTATAATTTACGGAGTAGTTCATCTGAAATGAAAAGTCAGACATTAATTCGAGCATGTGGCGAAGTGCTAACGCACCTGCCTATATAAAAAATTGTCAATGGATCGAAACCGGCCAGGACCTGTTTTTTTCTAAACGGAAAATAGTCCGCGCGTCAAATTTTTTCTTGGACTTCTGTTAGCTTTTTTGTCTGCTTAGTTGACGCATGGACAAACCTGCTTATAGCTTAGGCGATTTGAACTTGTACTTGAATTGAAATTTACTTTAATTTTGGTTTTGGGTGAGTAATTGAAATCAAAGAAATCGATTTTTCTGAGCTATTTTTTTAAAATTGTTTTTTTCTTGTTTATTGAAAACTTTTGGAAGTTTTTTTTTTATAAATAAGTTCCAGGAGGGTTCTGTGTATTTGGTGCAGTGGTAACACTCTTGCTTGGGGCAAAAATTCTCAGAAGTTCGATTGCAGTCGGGACCTGTGTTTGTGGAAATGCTCGGCAGAAATGTTCGGTTGCTTTTTAGCCTTTTGAAAGCTCTTTGTAAAATTATTTGTGGTGCGAGTTATTTTGTTCCAGGAAATGTTTGTCCTTTCTTGTATTTAACAAAAACGATTTTGAAGGTTTTTGTTTCAATTTTTGATTTGTCTTTCATTTGCTTTTAATCAATCATAGTCACTCATTTTTATATTGCAATTAGTGAAAAGCTCAGCCTCGCCTCCGTATAAAAAATATGCTGTTATAAAATTGATACGTCATTTCTCATCGTAAGTAATGTAAATATTACAAAGCTCTTCGATGACCCACACTTATCTGGAGACCTCCAATCAAAACGGTCTAATTTTTGATTTGAAAAACATCGTCAAACAGTTGTTTTCAACTTGCACAGCAAAGCTGAACTCGTTTCAGATACCTTTTGTGCGCTTATAATGTGCCTAAAATGCTCGTGGCTTGCCACAAGAGCACCTCAAGAAGAGTGATTTCATGAAATGGTGGATCAAGTTTTGCAATCAATCGAATGAGTTGGTAAAACTGATGGACATCAGGAATATAATTGTTAATCCTACCCAGAAAATTTCGACTATTGTTTTGTCTGAGTTGGCCGTTGTCGAAATAAGGTTCATAATAGTAGGAAAATCAGAGGATCCTGCCTACTCTTAAAGCACGTCATTGTTTTTGAAAAATACCGCAATCTATCTCTCAAAGTCAATTTCACTTCACGCCTGAGCAAAACAAAAAGTAAAGATAAACAAAATGTCGAAAAGAGCAGTCTTAGGTTAATTAACTCCCTTCAGAATCATTAACTAAAAATGATATTGACTACATTTGGCCTAAAAGGCGCGTGGCCTGTCACAAGAGCACGTCAGGAAGACCGATTTCATGAAATGGTGGATCAAATTCGAGTCAAGTGTTGCAATAATTTGAATGAGATAGTAAAAGCGATGGATATCAGAAATATAATTATTTCTCCTGCCCAGAAAAATTCGACCATTGTTTTCTCTGAGTTGGCCGTTGTCGAAATAACATTCATAATAGTAAAAATATCAGAGGATCTTGCCTACTCTTAAATCACTTCAAAGTGTTTGAAAAACCGCAGTCTCTCAAAGTCAATTTTCTTCACGACTGAACAAAACTAAAATTAAACTTAAAACCGACTTAGAAAAGAGCAGTTGTAGGTTAATTAACTTCATTCAGATTCATTAACCCCAAACGATATTGCAAACAAATTGGCATCAGCTATAAAAATAGATTTCAACAGTTTTCACAAACGATTCTTTCGCGTGGTTTGAGTTGGTCAAAAGTATCGAAGAGTCATTCATGCATTAGCTTGCTTGCTTTTAAAGCACTTAAAAGTTTTTGAAAAATGTTAAATTTTTTAAAATTCAAAGTTCCCGCCTTTGAACACAATGGCGGTTAACGCAAATCATGCGAAGCTACGCTTTGGCTCTGTGTTACAACTGGCCTCTCAGTTTAATTTACGGAGAAGTTCATCTTAGTTTCTCGTTACTAATAAATATACTTTTTGTAAAACTAACACTTCATGTTAAATTATATATAATGTAAATAATAAGCTCTTTCATGACCCACAATTATCTAGAGATCTCCAATCAAAGAGGTCAGATTTTTGAACTGGAAAACGTCAAACTCAGTTTTAACTTACAGAGAAACGCTGAGCTCGTTTTCAGATACCTTTTGTGCGCTTATAATGTCCATAAAAGGCGCGTGGCCCGCCACAAGAGCACCTCTGGAAGAACGACTTCATGAAATGGTGGATCAAGTTCGAGTCAAGTATTGCAAGGATTCGAATGAGATTGTGAAATCGATGGACATCAGAAATATTATTATGCCTCCTGGCCTGAAAACGTCGACCATTGTTTCGACTGAGCTGGCCGTTGTCGAAATATTCTTCACAGTTGTCGAAGATTCAGAGGAGTTGGAGGTGACAATTTTACTGTTTTATGATTCAGTTGAAGATTCTTGCAGAGGGTTGTTGAAAATATCGGGGGAGCTTCCCTGTGACCTGAATCGATTTATGCATGAATACGTAATGCCCGTTCCCCAAAATGGATCATTGAATATATGGTACTTGAATGAATTTTCGCCGATTCATATTTCAAGGTTCCCTAAGATATCTTCTCTTCATCGCAGGTCACACGAAAACTTTCAGCATGACTTAGCACAGCGTAATTGGAGACTTTGGAATTGCCCTGAGCTAGGTAAGATCGGACCACCAAGTAATTTGGAGCGGCATCCAAGTTCCGAAAACGAGGCAGAGTCTTACTGTGACATTCTATCAGTGTTGATGGATGAACGTGTCAATCAAAATTCAAGACTTTCAAAGCTTCCAATTGAGCTCATCGAAAATATTTATTCCAAGTTGGAGACCACCTGGACATCTCATATTGAGACACGAGGAATATTTGCTAGCGTAGTTGCCAAAGTTATGTTCCCGCCTCCTTGTGGAATCAATGTAAACATGATGCCGATTACAATAGGAAACTCAAGCTCCATTCCTAAAAATATGAAACAATACATTCCGCTTTTGGCAGCCTGTCCTGTAAACTTCGGAGAGTTTGGAGAATGTGGTTATTTGACAATCCATGAATCCACAATAAGTGAAGAGGGATCAAGTCAGAGAAGGGGTGGGATCCATTTGGAGACTCCTGGGAAGATCTGGTTAGAGGGAAACCGGGATCCTTCTCTTGAAACAGTGAGTTGGAATTTTTGAAACTACGAAATTTTAATTCTAAAAAGCTGAAGCACATTCAAATGGAACACTTTCTGCAACTGATAATTGTTCCGACTTTCGATACGAAAGTAACGGAATATTTGTGCTCGGGGTGGGTTTTTTTTCTTCAGACAAATTTCGACTTTTTAACTAGCCATTTTTGACAAAATTTGTTTATAACATTCAAAAGGTATTGTTGCCCTGAGCTTAAATTTGAAAAGATATTTCACCTGTGATCATGTTTTGTAAATATACGAGGGTTTAAAGATTGCCATTTTGGCCAATTTGGGACAATTAACGCGCGATATATTTCGCTCTATTAACTCGTAAGCGAGATTTAATCCGTCTTAGAAATCGTTCCAAATTGGTTCAAGGAAGATTATATGCATAATTGATTTGTTAATAGGAGCGAAATCTATCGTTTTGTACTTAATATGGCGTGTGAGGGGATATTTTCACAAAAAATCTCGAACTTTTAAAAAAAAAATTATAATTGTTCCGACTTTCGAAACGAAAGTAACGGAATATTTGTGCTCGGTGGGTTTTTTTTTCTTCAGACAAATTTCGACTTTTTAACTAGCCATTTTTTACGGAATTTTTTTATATCATTCGAAAGCCATTGTTGTCCTGAACTTAAATTTGAAAAGATATTTCACCTGTGATGACTTTTCGTAAAGTTATGAGGGTTTAAAGATTGCCATTTTGAACAATTTGGGACAATTAACGCGCGATATAATTCGCGCTATTAACGCGTCAGCGGAGAATTAATCCGTCTTATAAATCGTTCCAAATTGGTTGAACGAAGCTTATTTGCCATAATTGATTTGTTACAAGGAACAAACTATCTTTTTGTACTTTATATGGCGTGTGGGGGATGATTTTCACAAAAAATTCCAAACTTTGGAAAAAAAATTTTCATTTTATTTTATTTCATTTTATTTTTTACGTTATTACTGCTGCTCCATAAACCTTAAAAGGCAGTCGGAACCTTCAGGGCTTCGCCCTGATACGAGCAGTCTTGTTTTATTTTATACAAATACCTTAAAAGGCAGTCTGAACATTCAGGGCTTCGCCCTGATACGAGCAGTATTGTTACAATCCTTTTTCGAAATTCACAAACAAACTTTAAATTAAAGCAGCACGATTTGTTCGATTATTTTGAATTCTGACGAAAATAGACTAATTTTTGAAACTGAATCACCATATGCACGAAAAGTGCTTAGATTATTATGGTTCAAATTCTTAGCCGACGAAACATCACTTGTAATTAGTCTACGGCAAGGAAGCTGAATAAAAGTTATTGTAAACCATCTAGCATCTGACAAAGACGTGGTTTGAAGACGATTCGTTTTAACTGAACAAATAAATAATTGATAAGGCTTTGCAAAGGCTTTGCAACTGTTACTGCATTATCAAGCTTTCTACAATGGGAAAATCAGAAAACCTAAAATACAGAAAACTAAATTTGAATTGGGAGACAAAGTAAGACTAGCCTATGATGGTTTTGAGCGTAGAAGCCCGAGTTTACCGACAAAAGTTACACGGTTGAGAAAAAAAAGTACAGATCGTCCAATCGTAACATATAAAATAAAAGACTCGGAGAACAAAATTCTGGACAGTCGTTACTACGACCAAGAGTTGCAAAAGTGGATATTCGACAATGAGTAGTTATATCTAAGAGTTGGTCCCGATAGTTCGCTAGCTTCCTTTACAAACTTTTGACCTGATCAACTTGAATTTGAGGGGGACTGGGAAGTGGTCTTACTAGAAATTTTTTATCCAGCCGTGTGTAACAACGTGCGCAATATAGCAATATAACTTTTTGGTACAAAAACGCAGATGGTTTTCGCAAAAGTAAAGTTTTTGTGGAATCTTTTGATTTCGGAAAAATTAAAGAATTCCATATCGAACCTGGACTATTTTCATCTGTGGACCAATATTTGGTTTCCACGAATTCTGTTTTGAAAAAGGTAACAAATAACAATCAAAGTAATTAGAACTGGGAACAACCCATTTTCCCGCAAATTACAAATCAAGTTACCAAATCGATCATGCGGAATTTCTTTGGAAGCAGCGATCTTCGGACAACCACGGGTTTTGATTCAGACTTCTATGATTATCCTGAATCTCAAAATCCTGCTTATCCAACGGAATTTTTTTATAAGCAGTGATCTTCGGACAACCACGGGTTTTGATTCAGACTTCTATGATTATCTTGAATCTCAAAATGCTCCTTATCCAATCTCAAAAAGCTCCTTATCAAAATGCCCCTCTTCCAATGTTTCAGCTTTGATAATTTGCTATTCCGAAAACTTTAACGTTACTAATTTCACTCAATTAAAATTGAGCCTCGGACACCCACAGGAGAAGTTAATGCCTTTCATCTCAGGGTTACGCTACTATTTCGGAAACAGTAATTCAAATTCATTTCATTCATTTTATTTCACAAAAATACGGATTTCATCGCCATATTTTCAAGGAGTGCTACAACAGAGGTCGTAGATTGGGAGCATTGGCTGGGACAGTGGCTCGTACTCATTTCCCAATTTTGAAAAAAAATACTTTGTTCCCGCTGCGAAAACAAGTGGTAGAGAATTAATTGAAACAGGAGCATCGGAAGTGGGGAATGTCATATCGGGAAAAACTAACTTAAAAAAGTGGTAAAACGTACAGCGAGGGAAACTATAAGGAAACAAATAGGGGCTGGAAAGCGATTAAAAACGAAAAAACTAAAACCAGTTTAAATTAAGAAAAAGATTGAAAACAGTCGGACGGATTTTTCAGAAAAACTGAAGATCAAATTGCCATGAAAGTGCATCTCATTCCTCCTTGCAACTCTTCGACAAAGTTCCGCTTTTAGAAGATGTACAATGGTCCATAATTCAACAAATTTTTCCCATCAACTCGCTGAATGAAGCCTGTATCGAATGCCAGCTGGAAACAGATCGAAATGTGTTCCTGGATCTGCAGGAAATTGCGCTAAGTCTCAAATTTTCCATCGTTATGGAGAATCGGAAGATAGAAGATGCCGATGATGTCTACTTAGTTTTAAAAAATTTACGCTCGCTTTTCTCAAATGTCTTTTTGAACAATGAGCACGTCCATACCTCAAACGGTCTTTATCCCCATAAAGCATTCCTGTCAAACAAGTTATCCGGAAAAAAGGAAGAAAAGAAGCCATAATTATTGGGCAAGGTTACACATACAATGCAAATCCTAATGATAAAACTACGCAAGTTACTTTTGATCGAAAAACGGAAACTCTTAACTCTTAGAGACGAAATTGAAGTGTACGGTCCGCTTGCAGTTGATTTATTCACTTGTGGTAATTTACTTCTACCAAATGTTAATGTTCGAATAAGATTCATTCGATCACGAACTTTGTTTTATGTTTTCACTGATAGTACTTAAGAAATCGAAGTAAAAATTACAGCCGCGTCTCTTTTCAGCAGACAGGTAGCTATCGATGAACACAAACTACTGGAAATCAAGTCCAATATACGAAAACAGCCAGGCTGCTCACAACTACCTAGAATATGTCCCAAAAACAATATTTTTTGCAAAGGGCAAAACCAAAACTTTAAAGAGCACATTTTTTAAAAATGAATCTTTTACTGGACAGAAGAAAGAGAACCCTTTTAATTATCGGAAATTTGGTCTTCGATAGGTTAAAATTGTTCAACTGTAATTGAAATGACGTGTGAAGACAATATGAGACCATCCGTTGAAATCATGAAAGCGTTCAAATTCACGGATAATGGATCCGGAATTGATCTTAATGACTATCAAAAAAATCATTGTTTTAGCTTTTGATCTTCCATGCAAGAATCAAACGTCATTTATTTTATCCTGATGTTGTAGCAGCTAGCTTAAGATTTGGATTGTTTTTCAATAAACCGTTGAAGGAAACCATCGAAATTTTTGTACTGGGAGAAAAACTTGTTACAACTTTGATACATGAAACTGGTACCGTCACAAAAAATGGATAATGAGCAACTTCGGAAAATACTATTTTTTTTTCATAGGATCTCTTCGCTACCGATTTTTAGAATGCTACACTGCCAATTTCACCCCAAAATTCTACCAAGAAATTCCTTTTGTATTATTAATACAGATGTTGCTACAAGTCCTGGGACACATTGGATACTTGTTGCGAGAACAGATACCTGTTTTGTAGATTCTTTTGACAAAAATATTGACCATTACAAAAGTATTCGGTTCAATGAACTTTTAGAATATCTGATAGATAAAAACCTTCAGAAAATGGACTTAATACGGTCTCTATTGTATTTTTTTTGCCTATACTCTACACTCAAGTTCAGTTGTAAAAGCTTTGTCGTTGATGATTAATTCATTATGCATTTTTTTTCACAGTACTTGTAATTCACTCTTTTTAACAACTCTATTTCACAAACAGTTAACACAAAAGTTTTTTTTTGAGTCTGCGCAACCTCAAATATTTGTTTACTTTTCACTTTCTTTGCTCTGCTGTGAATATCCACCCTTTCTCCATTTGATAACAGAAGATGCGATCTGTCCAACGTCTCATTCGGGTTGTCAGTTTCCTTTTTAAGTGAAGAGTCGAACTTAATCTTTCGATTTACTAGCGGAGAAGTGAATAGAATAGGTAACATCGCATTCGAAGATGGAGTTTTTTCTTTACTTTCTTTATCACTTGTCTCTTTCTCGCTTTCTCTGGGAATCACTCTATCCCAGTCAGTTTCTAATTTCCAAATCAACTCCCACTCCTCCTGAGCCATTAAAAGTCCTAACTGGTTTTCCGTCATCTGTCGCTTACATACATCATAAATACAAAACTCATGACGCACACTTTGTGGAATTGTTGTAATATCCATATTGTCTCTAACGCTAAGGGATCGTTTTTTAATGTTTTTCCAATAATAGTCAACTTCTGCTTGCTCATCGTGAATATCCGAATCCACTGTACCGACATACCTTTTTGTACTGTTTAAAGAACCTCC